ATAGGCAACAAATAAATGCTATTTTTCTCAAACCTCTTACTATAACACATGTATCGATCCGTTAGTTTGTTCTTTACACTGATTTGTTGAATACAAGAATATATAACAACTTTTATAACCAATATATATAAATCTCATTCCTTAACTGTTTTTTGATATATTCAATATTTGTATATAAATATAAATTTTTGATTCAACTTATGGTTATATCTATGTATAATGCATTTAATAATTAATAATAAACTAAAAAAATTCAAGCTATTTATATACCGTATTTGTTAAATTATATTATAAATTTTCATTGTAAAATCAGTAATAAATAAAAACATTATTATTATAAAATAAGATGTATAATAAAACTTTAATTTTAATTAAAAAATATAACAAATAGCACATATAATAAAATATAACATAAATTAATTATTTATAATAATGTATTTGTTTTTATTTTATTTTTATTTCGTTATGTAAATTTAAATGAATGTTCCAGCAATAAAATACAAATGACACAATAAGAAACATTGATTATAAATAAGCAAATAAATAAGCTTAATACATTATATAAAAGAATATTAGCTTTGTTATGATATAAGTATATTATTCGTAAATAAAGTGAAAATTGAAAGTAGAATTAGTGTCTACACAATAACTTACTATTAATAGTAAGAATTTGTATTTTAATACATTATATAAAAGAATATTAGCTTTGTTATGATATAAGTATATTATTCGTAAATAAAGTGAAAATTGAAAGTAGAATTAGTGTCTACACAATAACTTACTATTAATAGTAAGAATTTGTATTTTTTAACGTTTAATGTAAAGTAAAAATGAATAGACCACTACAGTAGATGGAGTAATGATAAATAAGATGACATAAGAAATTCATTTATTCAATAATATTTTATTTCAATATCTTTTATAACTTATTGTCTTAATCGAGATTTTATCAATTTCCATAAACATTAAGAATTAAAGATTTACAGAGGATTAAATATTACATTAAATTTGAACACACATGTTATACTCATTAAATTATTTTAATANTATTTCAATATCTTTTATAACTTATTGTCTTAATCGAGATTTTATCAATTTCCATAAACATTAAGAATTAAAGATTTACAGAGGATTAAATATTACATTAAATTTGAACACACATGTTATACTCATTAAATTATTTTAATATTGAAAAGTTAATGGAAGTTTCTAATAATATTGTTTTATAATTTTTCCTTTTCAACTTACAGTACATTAATTTTAATATCAATACAATTTTGAAGGAATTATTTGAAAATATAACTTTAAAAGTAATTTAGAATTAAATATTAATATATCGAGAATTGTTAGATAAAGATAGTATTTTTAGATTTACTGCAATTAGAACCGCTTCCTATATAATTGATAAAAGTATTATTTTATTTATAAGTTTAATTTAAGTATGATTGAAAAATAAAGATTAAAATTATGTTAAGTTATTAAAAGTTATATTTGAGGAAATAATTTACAAATAAAATTTTGGTTAAAATATAAATTATTTAAAATAAAAGTCAGTGTCTGTAAAGTAACAAATTGAGACACAAGTGTGTAAAAGATTGTCTCCGCAATGCCGGCCCCACCAGTGAGTGCTCTGAAAGGAATATCTGAAATAAGACCACAATTGTTAAGTGAAGTCCGAAGCAAATTCTTAACTGAAGTCAAATGTAATCCTAATCTCTATTACAATGAAGACGTTGAAAGTATTGAATCCAATGAATGGCAAACTCAACGATTTATATTAGAGCATAAATATAACGCCGATTTGAGTCTAAAAGCGATGATAAGTGCTATGCGATGGAGAAAATCGTTTGGCGTTAAAGAGCTAAAGGAAAGTACTTTTCCTGAAGAATACTACAGAAGCGGTTCTATCATTACATACGGAAGAGACAGGAATGACGCGACTGTTATGATAGTGAGGGCTAATATTCATAAGAAAATCCATGAGTGGTCTGATATAATGAAGAAGTTCTTTATATATCAAATCGAAAACATTGATTTCACTAACGATGGAAAAGGTCTGAAAAGTGTTTCAAAGTATTTTAAATAAAGTATATCAAAAGTTTATGGTTTATTTCTACAATAGGTGTTACTTTGATCCTGGACTGCACTGGTATTGGAATCTCAAACTTGGATTTAGATTTACTGCAGTTTATTGTAACTTCTTTCAGTAGTTATTACCCAAAACTCTTCGATGCAATTCTTATTCACGAATTGCCATATCTTTTACAATATGTCTTCAAATTGGTTCAGTCATGGCTTCCAGAAGATGATCAAAAGTTTTTCCATTTGACACAAAAGAAAAATATTAATGAATTTGTATGCGAACAACAATTGCCCAAATTTTTAGGTGGAAATAATCCCGACTCATATCAAACAGTTCCAAAAACTGTGGTTAAAGCTGAAGACTTGGTCACCATAATTGGTCTCAAGAAAAAAGATGCTCTAAAACTAAAACATTTGGAAAGTCACATGAATTAATTGAATTAATTGATAATCGTTAGATTTGAGTTTCTGTTCTTGATTTTAAGAAATTAATTTAGTATTGAAATTATTAAAAACCTATTTGTCCTTTGCTTTGAATTTTGATCTAAATATTATGTATCTAAAGTTTTTGACTTGTGAGTTAAAATATTTAATTTTTATAAATTCTTGTTAAGTATAATATTAAATTTAATATTTTTATAATTTATAAAACAGGATATTTTTGAATAAATTGAATTGTAATTTATAAATGTAAAATTTTTATTTGATTATCTTCTAGATAATTATACAATATAAACGACACTTCAATGTTAACAATAATAAAAATAAACATTATTTGACTTTATATTTGTGTCAAAACAAGAGTTTAGTAAAGAATCAGAGAATCAGTAAAACTGATGGCAATGATAACGCATGCGATCATGAATTGCGTGAAACTTATGTTTTATTAGCGCTTATATGATGTGAGGAATGAACACAGGGTTTGAATTTGTTTGCAAACAAATACTCTGATGCTATCATTGAAGATGTTTGTGTTTTATTCAATCTCCAAATGACAATCAATCTCTGTCTGTGCATAACACATGTCGACTAAATATTATTGTTATACTAATATTATTATTGTTTTTTAATACTAAGGCCTTGGATTCAATGTAAAAACATTAATATTTTATAAACAGATATGTTTGAAATTATTTTCAATAGTAAATATTATATGACTAGTACTCAAATATAAACTGAAGTAGAATTTTGAGAAAAAATGGATTCAAATAAAAATGAGATAATATATCGACAAATGGAAGTGAAAGACCTGAAAGATGGTCTCAATTGTTTCACTGCTCATAATCTTCAGGAAAGTTTGTCCACTTTAGAGGCATATTATGAATGCGATCCAAAGGCTTTCTATGTGGCCATCAATAATAGTGACAGTATGTATAATATACATTTATACTGTATTATTATTCATAATCGTAATTTATAATTTAATATTGATAATAAGTAATAAAATTATAATAAAATATTATTAAAAATAATATTAAAAATTTTGTTTAACCTAATTTTTAAGTTTGTAACTATACTTGATACTATAAATAGATCTCATTTTTGTAATGTTGAGAAATAAATGAATAATATAGATATATAAAATGTTATGCAGTAACATGGTTATATTAATTTTTTAAACTACATAAAATAATTTTAAAAATATAATTTAATTTCAATGCAAGATGCATTTCATTTTAATTTATTTTTATATATAATTTGTTTGGTTTTTTAATACAGTATAAATTCTAAAATTTGGAAGTAAGCCAATTTCAGAGTATTATATAAGAATATTATTCTTAAAATATTAAAAATGGATTTCTATGACAACAAAACACTTTTTAATAATACTTGCCATAAAAACTATTAAACACATAAAAGAGAATTTTTAAATTCTCATTACTGTATTGCAAATGTAAGCAATGAAATACAGAATTGATGAGTTTGCAAAAAATGTGTTCACGACTGAGCAGACAATGGTGTGAAAATCAATAAGTATTTAATTGAATTCCTATGTTCACAAATTGGGACCAAAAGCAATATATTGTTTACACATGTAATACTTAAATTTGTAGATAAATTATTATAAACTTAAAGCAAATTAAACTTTATTAGGAATCTCTATCAACAAGAGTTAGTTTTTATAAAAATTCTTACTACATATTTATTATAAATATTAACATACATATTACATACTGTACTGTACACTCTACAATTACTGTATGTCTATAATACCCAACTATATAACTATACAATTACATTAATTAGACTTCGGACGGTGTAGTGTTGTTTGTGTTGTATAAACTTAAATCTAACTTAAAATAATTTTTAAGAATTTAATGAATTACTCTGTATGCATAAATTTTTAATGTTTACTTTAAAAGCATTATTAATTTTTTCAAAAATTAACTAAATTAGTATAATTTAGTTATAACCTTTACTAATCTTAATAAAGTCATAAATAGTAACTCATAATAAAGAATTTAGTATACAATAATTTAATTATTTTTATACTGAATTGAAATATTTTTAATAGAAATCTGATAAAAATATATTTAAATTAATTTTTATATATAAAGATAGGATTATAGGTGTTTGTGGAGCGCCGGTCACAACACATAATTCTGGGTTTTTAGGTCTCTATGGCGTTGAAAAAGGTTTCCAGAATAGAGGAATCGGACAAAAATTGTTCAAACTTTGTCTGAAACACATTAATACAAGAAACTGTGGTTTACATGCCGTACCCGAGAAGTTATCCATGTATGAAGAGAAGGCAGGTTTTGGTGTTAGGGAAGGCGTCTCAATGGTTGTGTGCAACGATTTACCTCAGAATTTGGAGGATCTCTTGAAGACAATCAATGAAAACACAAGAGTTGATGAATTGAACAAAGAAAACAAAGACTTATTGACAAAAATAATTGAATACGATTTGAAAGTACACAATGAAAGGCGTGAAAAATTGCTTTCATTGAGTCTCTCTAAACACGACTACAACACGTTTGTGGCCATCGATGACAAGAGCGGACAACTCACTGGTTATGGATGTATTCGACTCCATAATGGAGGCAAAGGAATGATAGGACCCGTCTATGCAGACAATGACACCATCGCTGAAGTGTTGATCTATAATCTCATAAAGTCTTGTATTGCGGCACAAACTAAAGGTCTGCTATTTATGACCATATCTTCCTCATCGGGTGGCATCAGAATCGCTCAGAAATTGCAAATCACTGAACGAGACAGATGTGAGCGAGTCTTCACTAAACATACCATTCCTGTCAATCATAAATACATTTATTGCTTGTTTTCGCCTAATTTTGGGCTTTAAATCACATTAAAAGTACAAATACTTTTGAGTTGTAATCGTATTATAATATAAAAATATTAAAATCATATATACCAAGAACAATCATATATTACAGTAATCTATGTTTAAAATATACAGATCTGTACTTCAATTATCATTTATTCTTACATGTGTAAATATTCAATAGGTACACCTTACCAGTATACATTTAATTGTTACAATAAGTCAAACAAAACAATCATTTAGTTACAAAGTATATTATAATGATATCAAGTTATTAATAAACAATATAATCTAGTAAAGACAATCTTTGTTGTAATTTACTGTATAACAATTATTGACTACAGTATTAATTTAATGTTTTGTGTAATAAATTTTGTATGTTTAAATATAACAGAATTGTATATTTTCTATAGAATCTTCCTAATACTTATTAAATGGTATTAAAACATAAATAACTTTTCATTGGATTCCTATTCATAATATTTGATGTATAACAATATTAACTAAAATATCAATACTGTATATGTTAGAATCTGTTGTGGTGATAGTATCGTAAAGAATATGCATGGTAATAGGCAAAAGTGGTGAACAGGGTCACTCATAGAGTACCTTCTGTTGTGAAGGCCGGGCACTCGTTGTGAAGCGACTGCCCGGCCACTCATTTTTAAGCTTTTCTTAGGTTTATTTCATTTTTTTGAAGGTTTCAGTTTTGTTTGTCTTTGTTTTGTTTCATTCACCAGAGAATAGTCCGGATCAGTGTTTCGACAGTTCTCATGAGCATCGGATCACCACATCATA